AATAAGAAAGCCTTCCTCAGTGGTCACTGCAAAGAAATAGAGGAAAACAATAAAATGGGAAAGACTAGAGATATCTTCAAGAAAGTTAGAGATACCAAGGGAATATTTTATGCAAAGATGGGCTCAGTAAAGGACAGAAATGGTATGGACCTAACAGAAGCAGAAGATATTAAGAAGAGGTGGCAAGAATACACAGAAGAACTGTACAAAAAAGATCTTCATGACCCAGATAATCATGATGGTGTGATCACTTACCTAGAGCCAGACATCCTGGAATGTGAAGTCAAGTGGGCCCTAGGAAGCATCACTACGAACAAAGCTATTGGAGCTGATGGAATTCCCGTTGAGCTATTTCAAATCTTAAAAGATGATGCTGTGAAAGTGCTGCACTCAATGTGCCAGCAAATTTGGAAAACTCAGCAGTGGCCACAGGACTGGAAAAGGTCAGTTTTCATTCCAATTCCAAGGAAAGGCAATGCCAAAAAATGCTCAAACTACCGCACAATTGTACTTATCTCACACGCTAGCAAAGTAATGCTCAAAATTCTCAAGCCAGGCTTCATCAATACCTGAAGTGTGAACTTCCAGATGTTCAAGCTGGATTTAGAAAAGGCAGAGTAACCAGAGATCAAATTGCCAACATACGTTGGATCATCAAAAAAGCAAGAGAGTTCCAGAAAAACATCTATTTCTGCTTTATTGACTATGCCAAAGCCTTTGACTGTGTGGGTCACAATAAACTGTGGAAAATTCTGAAAGAGATGGGAATACCAGACCACCTGAACTGCCACTTGAGAAATCTGTATGCAGGTCAGGAAGCAAGAGTTAGAAAAGGACACGGAACAACAGACTGGTTCCAAATAGGGAAAGGAGTACATCAAGGCTGTATGTTGTCACTGTGTTTATTTAACTTATATGCAGAGCACATCATGAGAAACGCTGGGCTGGATGAAGCACAAGCTGGAATCAAGATTGCTGGGAGAAATATCAATAACCTCAGATACGCAGATGACACCACCCTTTTGGCAGAAAGTGAGGAAGAACTAAAGAGCCTCTTGATGAAAGTGAGAGAGGAGAGTGAAAAAGTTGGCTTAAAGCTCAACATTCAGAAAACTTAAGATCATGGCATCTGGTCCCATCACTTCATGGCAAATAGATGGGGAAACAGTGGAAACAGTGGCAGACTTTATTTTTTGGGGGCTCCAAAATCACTGCAGATGGTGACTCTAGCCATGAAATTAAAAGATACTTACTCCTCGGAAGGACCAACCTAGATAGCATATTAAAAAGCAGAGACATAACTTCGCCAACAAAGGTCCATCTAGTCAAAGCTATAGTTTTTCCAGTTGTCATGTACGGATGTGAGAGTTAGAATATAAAGAAAGCTGAGCACTGAAGAATTGATGCGTTTTAACTGTGGTGTTGGAGAAGACTCTTGAGAGTCCCTTGGACTGCAAGGAGATCCAGCCAGTCCATCCTAAAAGAAATCAGTCCTGAATATTCATTGGAAGGACTGATACTGAAGCTGAAATTCCAGTACTTTGGCCACCTGATGCGAAGAGCTGACTCATTTGAAAAGACCCTGATGCTGGTAAAGATTGAAGGCAGGAGAAGGGGATGCAATGGTTGGATGACATTACCAACTCAATGGGCATGAATTCGAGTAAACCCCAGGAGTTGGTGATGGACAGGGAGGCCTGGCATGCTACAGTCCATGGGGTCACAAAGAGTCAGACCCAACTGAGCGACTGAAGTGAACTGAATGCACGTACTGGTTATGGAAGATTCTGGAGTTTTTGATCAGCCACAAGCAGCCTGGGAAATGTTTCTTGCAGGATATAACGTACATTCTGTTATCCATTTATCCCCCCATTCTCTCAGTATTTGGTGTGGCCCTTGCCTTTTCTTCTTTTCCATATAACCCATGGAGTAATTGATTTCAGGCCTGCCTCACTAATCTTTTGCCGTCAAGCTGTTGGTGCCTCGTTTCTTTCATTCTTGGAAAGTTACAAAGTGATGTGATCAGTTATTTGCTTTATACGGTCTTTCAGATTTTATTTGGAGAGTGGGTGCCCTTCTAAGTGTGTCAAGCAGAAAGGTGTATAATACAGGGATTTGGCTTATGCAGTCATCAGGAAGGCTGGGCCGTGAAGCGTAGAGCCTGCCCATGGTCTGCTGCCCACACACATAGGGGTCTTCTGCAGAGAGCGTGTGGGAGCTGCTGGCCAAGTGTTCTATCTGCTACCTGCAGCTGTGCCATGCCTGCCCAGAGCTACTGGCTGTGAGTGAATAACTGGTGTCTCCTCCTCTACTCCTGTCTCCTGTGAATGCTTCTCATTCACAATGTGTGACCTGGAGCCAGGTACCATGGGGTCTGGGGAGATGGGGTTTTGAGGCTTCTCAGAGGAGAGTAGCATGGGGTGGGGTGGGAAGATGTGGAAGTGACAACCGGCTGACTGGCAGGGATGACTTGAGTTTGAATATAGGCATAACAACACAGCACAGTTTGGGGGAAGAAGTCTTCTTTTCCAGTGTTGGCAGTGTTGGTATTAGTATTATTAATTTATCTTTGTGTTCTTAGCAGATGAATAGAGATTCTTTATACCTGTATTCTGGCTCTCTTCAAATCATGGTATTGCTAAATAATAAAAAGGATTCCATGACCTGCATATACAGTGCAAAAAGTAATATATTCTGTGAAGCTCTATAGTGCAGTGGGGGACCCAGAGCGTGAGATTTGAAAAACAATGCATAATTCACCAGCATGCTCTGGAAAGACCGGTGTTCAGAAAACAATTGTGGATGACTCAGCTTGTATATTCCTTTATTTTTTTTTGAAGCTATCTGGAGCTCTTTATTTGTTATAGTTATATATATGACTTGTGGTGAGCTGATAAAACACAGTGAGGAATTAAACACAATGAGGGAAATATTAGAAGAGTCTCAGAAGAAGGTAACTTAGAGACAAAGGTTGTATTGTTCCGTGTTAGGGGAGAGCTGTAACCTCTAGTTACCTGCTGTCTGGGTCACATCAGGCTTTCAGTGTAACTCACAGGGCTTTGAAGACAAAATTTGATCTGTGCTGTATTTGAGTCTGGAATAGCAAAACCCATTATGAGTGTGTCCTATGGCACTTGTAAAATCTCTGAATCTGGAGTTTCAAGTTTCTGCTGACATTTAATATTTGAATTATCTCAAGTAAGATAAAGAAAATGTACTATCTTATTCTATTTCTTTCTTGAGTGAGGAAAATTGAAAGGGTTGAAGGAAAAAAAGACTCATTACTAAGAGCAGTGTGCAAAGGGCAATGGTTTTAGCTTTGCTGGAATAAAATCAGTATGTTTGGGATTTCCTGGTGTCTTACATTGGGTCTTGTCGAGGCAGAGTTGGAGATGAGGATTCACATTCAAGTGATTTATGATTTATTCAGCAAGGGCTCCCAGGAGAAGCCAGCAGGGGATGAGGGAAGCCAGACTGGGAAAGGTAAGAGATGAACTGGGGTCCGTTTCAGGGGAAGTCTCAGATGGTCTGATCCTGCAGGGAACTTTGACATGCAAATTGTACCTTTCCGTCCTGAACTGAAGCAAAGGAGCTGGACTTTCACATTCCTGCTACAGTCAGTTGTTGGCTGAGGGCTGCTTGGTCGCCAGTGGAAGCTGGGGGCCCAAGGCAGATAAACTCCCGGGAAGGAGCTGTTTTGAGTATCCTAGTAGCCCTTGGGCAGGCCTTCAGAGTCTCAGGTGCTTGCCTTTAGAAAGAAAGAAGAACATAGATCCTGGGGAGGGATGTGCTGAAGTGATAAAAGGGATCTGGCTAGAGCCCTGCCACTGTAGTTACTCTTTGAGTAAGCTGTTCTTTTGTTTTGGTGAAACCCTGAATTGGGGGGATGGGGAGAGACAGTTTCTTGAGAGCAAGGGTTGGCAAACCTTTTTTTAAAAATAAAGGGCTAGAGAGTAAATATTTGAGACTTTGTGGACCACAGGGTTTCTCTCCCAACTCTTCAACTCTGCCATTGTAATGTAAAAGCAGCCATGTAAATGAGTCATGCAAATGAGCAGGCGTGGCTGTGTTCCAGTAAAACTTGATTTATAGAAACAGATGGAGGGGGAGGGAGGCAGAGAAATTTGGCCCAGAGGCCATAGTTTGCCCGTCCCTGCTGTGGAGGCTCCTTGTATGTACCAGAGATGGCTTTTTCCTTTATCCATTTCCTGTATCCTGCAAAACAGGGAATAAGTGGTATGTCTATCAAAAGGATGGTTATGATGCATCTTCAGTTAGTGTGGACCCCCTCCCTCCAATTTTTCTGGCATCCTAGCCATCATTACCAGGGTTGCACAGATAATCTCACTGAAGAGTGACTCATTTTATTGCTGCTAAAAATACTTTGTTCCCTCTTGTCTGTAAAATCAAACACAGACTTCTCAGCGTGGCATTCGGGAAACACTATGAACAGGCCAAAGTTGATTTTCCTGCATTGTTTTCTGCTGTCCACCATTTGTGCTTTCTAGTCCAGCTCCATGCATCTATTTACCATCTCTCTGGCATACTCTTTGTTTTTCATCTCCCTGACTTTGCCCCTGCTGTTTTCTTTCCTGGAATTCCCTCCTCTTAGCTCTACATTTTGAAATCCCAACCATTCTCTGAGACTCAGTTTGGTCCCCTTCTCCATTAAGCATTTTCCCCATGAGGAAATAGTATCTGCTCTGGACTTCAATAACAATATTGTCTATAAATACAGCTACCTATTTATAGACAATATCGTCTATATCTAAACCTTTATGTTGAATTATATAGTTCTTTGCTACAGTCACTATACTTTTAACATATTGAGGGAAGGCACTTAGATTTTTTTTTTAATTTTTTGTCCTTCACAGTTGATTACATATAGTAGATATTCAGTAAATAGAGTTTTCAGATGAAGGTTGCATTCTTACATCCTGCAATTATTAATGACTTAAGTGCTGAAATTCTGACATCATTTTTCTTTTTCCTTTTTATAGGCAAGAGCTGTTTTGGCAAAAGTTGGCTATCCTGAGTTTATAATGAATGATACTTATATTAATGAAGACCTCAAGTCAGTAAGTGCTAAATTTACTATAATTTCTTTTTTTTTTTCTGGCAAGTTGTACTGGCCTCATGCCTTTCTACTAACCCAAGTCTAGGCAATTAAATCTGGTTGTGCCATAAAGCACCAACTTTTGAGTCATTCCTTGGCTAGATACGAGCCTCATTATGCAGACATATCATAAGATTTACAGCAGATTCACAATAAAGCAAGTGTCAGAAAGAATGTGTACCTGAGTGGGTACCATAAAGCAAATGGGTTTGGATTTGGTCTACTTTGATCATACAGGAAAGAGTTAAGAAAACTGAGTATTTTACAATTAGTGGACATGTTCTAATGGTGAATGTATGATATTTGTTGTTAAATAGTCTTTATGTGCTTCATTCATAATAAATGACTAGTAATAAATCTTGCCTGTTGTGAGTTAACTTCATTAAGCTTTATGAGTGTTTTGGCAAACTAAGTGCATATACATATGATTCTATAATTTATTGTGAATTGGACTGTATATTTATAGTAAGTTTCTGATGGAGAAATAATAATTTTTTATTCTAATATTATGGGACATATATTTTCCAGTAGATACATTCATTGCAGGCCTTTCTAGTCATAACCACTGTCATTTGCTTTCCTACAGATAGTTCTGGTAAACAACTTTTCTTCATCACAAAACTCCCTCTTTTTACCATTCACTAGATTTTCTTGAAAACGTAGTTTTAAAAAATTAATTTAATAACTATGGTTCTGTAGTGTAGCTCTTTCCTGAGATTGTGGTCTAACAAGCAATCCTAGCTTTGTACATGAACATTGGAATTTTATAAGATCATTCAAAAGTGAGTGAAAACTTTAATTTGAAAATTTCTCCATTGGGCTCCAAGATAAAGCCTTCCAAAGTATTGATCTAGTTGCTATAGAGGAAAATAATTGTGCTTCACAGTATCCCAAAGCTCTGACAGCCCATCTTATTACACATTGTTTTGATCCTGAAAAATCTCACTATTAGTATGATGATGAAAGATACTGACACATTTGCCAAATTCATGTACATTATCTTTTAAACACCACACTGAACCTGTGAAATAAATGGTATTTATCTGAGTATTGCAGAAAAGGACATAGAGACTCAAAGTAGTTAAGTGATTTCCTCAGTGCCCTGCCTAGCATCAGAGCCAGGACTGCAATCTGGGTCCAGGAAACTCTGCTTGTAATCAGAGAAGGGGTTTCGCAGTGTTCTTGTCAGGCACCCCTGCTGGAGGAACAGAGGAGTGAGTTGAAGAGTAGGTGGGAACTGCTTTCCCAGAGCTGGTTGGGTTGAGACGAGTGAAGGGATGGAGGTCATACTGTTAAATGGGTAACAGCACAGGCTTTGGAGTGATTCTGACTCTTCCACTTACTAGTTATTTGAGCTTGTGCAAGTTTTTTAATTTCAGTTGGCTTCCCTTTGGTTATCTGAAGACTGAAGATAATAATAGCCAAGTCTTAGTATTGCTGAAAAGATTAAGTGAGATTCAGTTCAGTTGCTCAGTCATGTCCGACTCTTTGCGACCCCATGGACTGCAGCACACCACGCCTCCCTGTCTCAAACTCATGTCCACTGAGTTGGTGATGCCTTCCAACCATCTCATCCTCTGTCGTCCCCTTCTCCTCCTGCATTCCGTCTTTCCCAACATCAGGGTCTTTTCAAATGAGTCAGTTCTTCGCATCAGGTGGCCAAAGTATTAGAGTTTCAGCTTCAGCATCAGTCCTTCCAATTAATATTCAGGACTGATTTCCTTTAGGATGCACTGGTTGGATCTCCTTGCAGTCCAAGGGACTCTCAAGAGTCTTCTCCAACACCACAGTTCAAAAGCATCAGTTCTTCAG